AGTAAACTTCAAGGGATGACATTTCTATACTGATTTAGGTGATAGACAAATCTTTTGGCTTTGATACTGCCGTTGAGGAGGCTCAAAGGGCCATCAATGCTGCACACGTGGAGGCTGAGTGTGTGGCAAATGGAGTTGGAATAGTAAAGCTCATGGGTAGATATAGTGGTAAGCAGACTGTTTAGTTTCTTTTTTTTTTTTTGGTGTCTGAACTTAGAAGTTCAGCTCAAAGTATACTTGCTTGCACTTTGCAGGGTTCATTGCTATGTTTGCAACTTTGGCAAGCAGAGATGTGGTAAGACTTAGAGTGGTGATCAGCTCATGTTTAACCATTTCAATTTGCACTTACTTTAAACGAATCATAGTGTTTTTGATACAATTATCATTCCAATTTGGAAACTTTTGCTATAACCTTTTGGGGTGGGCCTAAGTTGTCATCTGATGGCAAGACTAAAGAATTGGAGTTGTAACAAACTTTGTACGTTAGACATTTGGATCCCTCTGTTTGCGGCAATTTGACTAGTTTCCTCCTACGTGTTAGACAATTTTCTCATCACCATGTACTGCAACTCTGACTGTGTTTGTCATGCAATAACTTCCTCGTGGAAAAAGCTAATATTTATCTTAATTCTTAAAAATAAATCATGAAAAAGAAGTCATGCACACTTGTTACAGAAAATTTGATTATCCAGAAATGATGCAAAATTATAAAATGTAATGGATTTTTCTCCTTATTATGACAAACAATTTACTTACGTGACTTTATAGTTAGTGTAGACTTAAAGGAATTGGTCTCAATTGTCCTGTTGTGAAGTAGTTATATGTCTTGTTTGATTTTAGATGACAAGCCCAATGACATTTCAAGTGGAATGTTGATTGTGACAGGACTGTTGTTTGATTCCAGAGTCCCCATTCTATTTGGAAGGCCAGGGTGGGCTATTGGAATATGTTGAACAGCGTCTTAAAGAAAATGGACATGTGCTGATCGTGTTGGCAGAGGGTGCAGGACAAGAATATGTTTCACAGAGTGCGCAGGCTGTTAATGGGACAGATGCATCTGGAAATCGGCTACTTTTGGATGTTGGTCTTTGGTTGACACAAGAAGTAAAGGTACTGAGAATGTTTCTTTTTCCCTTCTTCCCTGTCCTGATATTAAGAAGTCTGCCCTTTGACAGGCATGAGGCTTTTCAATCTTGGCATGCTATGGACTTCCATTCTTATCAAGTGTTTCTGTCTAGAACCAAAACTTTGTCACTGTATGATATGTGCGCGTTTTTTTGTTCAAGCATTTCTCTTCATTGTAAAAGTGTTTTTTCTTTTTTAATTTCAATATATTTTCTTGTGCACTGAAATTTTGTTTTAAATCTTGAATACATCTATTGCTACTTGAAGAGATTTTCTTACCAGAAAAGTAAATTACTTGAAGTTCTTAGAATTATTTCCAGAAAGCATATTGTTTTTTCTGGGGGAGCTCTTGCTGCAAGCACTTTCTAATGTATCATCTATATGAGGTGCTCTTCCTTTGCTTGTTTCTTGCAATGCCATTTGTGCCACGGGAGGATGTTTGTTTAGTATCTTTTCTGTGTGACATTGTTACTGGCAACCATCTTGCATTTCTTGACGGTTCTGGTAATTTCTTATGTAACAGGATCATTTTACGAACGTCCGGAAAATGGAAATAAACCTGAAATATATTGGTACTTTCAAAGCCCTACACTTTTATCTTGAATTTGTTGTATTAGCTTCTGTTTGAGACAATTTCTTGTTTTTATTTTGTTATTTGACCTTGTACCTAATCATTACTGGCAACTGCCTCTGTAGTTCTTCAGTAACATTTGTGGATACTAGGCTATGACTTCTTCATTTGAGTAACTACTGCTACTGCAAAATGGAGGACACATGATTGTTTCTTCTATTTCTTCTATCCTCAAAAAGTTACTGGTAATGAGTCAATTAACAGTAATAAATTACCAGAAATAATCATATCAAGTTTCCAGAAATTAAAATCAGCAGAACTACCAAGTTTTTCCTTTTATCATTCTTTTGTCACAAAGCCTACTCAGCCTAGTGACTTCCTGAGAAGATATCAGAATCTGGGCCAGTTATTATTTTGATGTTAAAGCATTTACTCATTTGTAGTGGGTGATTTAATTAACATCGTTGAGGATGTTATCCAAAAACAATAAACATGCCATTTTCCAAATAAAGAGATAGCGCTGTGTGTTCTATCACATATCCAGTCCTGCATTATTTCTTTGTCAACCAAAGTGATTTTCACAGCAAGTCCCAACTCCTCTTTTGGAAGCATATCAATAGCACTATCATTTGAGTACTCGTTTTGTGTAACCTTTGTCTGCAGATCCTACCTACATGATTCGGGCTATTCCAAGCAATGCCTATGATAATATCTACTGCACACTCCTCGCTCAAAGTGCTGTTCATGGAACCATGGCTGGATATACAGGTTTCACTGTTGGACCAGTAAACAGCAGACATGCTTACATTCCAATTAATGTAAGCGCTTTTCTGGATTGTTTACGTTAAGTTTCAAAGCAATCTATATATTCATAAGCATGCTTGTGCAGTTCTACTTTGTTGAATCTCGAACAAGCAGTTCATTTAATGAGGTCAAATATGTTGAATTTATCTATGGGAATGAAACAATTGCAAAAACAAACTTATAACAAAATTGCATTTCTATTACTTACTATCTGCTATTGGGAGCACAGCGGGTGACAGAGAAAACGAACACTGTCAGGTTGACGGACAGGATGTGGGCCCGACTTCTTGCATCCACTAATCAACCTAGCTTCCTGCAGAAGTGTGAAATTGTGCGAGAACGAGTTGATAAAGAAACTATGGAGGTAATTGATGACATGAGGATTACTTCTATCTAGACTGTCAGTCTTCTGTCAGCGCCTGCACTAAGAGAAGTGTTAAGCACAGCAAGCGTCTTAGGTCCACGGACTCTTGTATATTTGGAAAGAGTTATTCTTTGCAATTTGAGCAGGGCTGTGTATGCTGACAACGTTAATCTTGCTCTTAGTGGTCGGATGAGGATTTCCATTTGCATTTTATCCCAGACACTTATTGTACCTATTATTTTGAATTGGCTGATAAAGCTTAGCAATATTTTTTGACTCTTATGATGAGCAGTTCTTCTATGAGATCTACTCAACATGCTTATTCATGTTCGAACGTTTAGACAGGCAAGTCCAGTTTTGGCTTGCTTGTTAGTAGTATTTGGACTTCCGTTTTCTTTATTTCTAGTAGGTAGATTCTTAGATTTGCCAGGATGACTGCAAAGTCTCACTGTTATTGTACCATGTCAGCTGCCCTGGTTTATCCTAGAGAGAGACCCGACGAGAGTCAGGTCTCATCGGAATTCTTGTCAAACTTTGATGACGACAGAAAAAGTTAAGCATAGAATGATCTCTATGGCTAGTTGTCATTCATAAATGATGGGTGGTATGGCAATCTGGATTTGGTCATCCCATATAAGAGCTTGTCAGCTGGTCCTAGAGGTCCCCTTGCTTGTGCAAGTAGATCAATAAGTTCTTCTTTTTGTCGTAAGCGGTTAGCCTGGTCATTTAACTTCCCGTGTCACTGCTTCTTATCTGTGGTGTAGGAGGCCAAACAAGCGTCAACTTCCAATGGGGTCAGGTCGCATTACCCCATGAAAACGTTCCAGTTCAGGTACTAGTACTATCTATTAAGACTTGTAAATATATGTTCGACTTAGAAACTGATTTTTTGGTTTGTCATTACTATCTGTGTCGTTTTATGAGGGAAGAACGAAATATCTGACTAAAGCTTCATAGTAATGGAAGTTGAAGACTGAGCATGAAAGGCTGCAGGTATGTGTTTTGTGGCAAATTATGCTTGACTTGTATATCAGCTTTTTTCTCGATTTGTGTATCTGATCCGTTAATTCGTTGAATGAGAAATGAGGGTCCATTCCTTGCAATGAAATTAAAAACAGGGAGCACTCTGTCGGTTAATTTACCTTACCCTGCATGTTGTTTTTTTTTTTTCAAAATTCTCTCGTCGTAACTCATGACATATTTCATGTGCATTAAAAAAAAAAAAAAGAAAAGAAAAGTGAGAACTGAATAACAAGAAGACGTTAATGAGAAGGATCAGGTTCCATCTCAATCCGTCTGCAGCTCACATTTTAGTTGCAAAAGAGGATTTTAATAAAGCAGCGTTAGTCTTGTACGAGTTGGAAAAGTTGCTGCATGGTGTCACTCACGTACAAGTAGGAAAGTTGCTTAATCTTGTGTTTTTTTCTTCTGGAAAACCCCCAAAATTCAAACTGCTTCGGCTCTGAAATCAACCCGACTTGGCATAACAAAAAATTATAATCGATTTTGTTTAGCCTTATTTCTCTTGAATTACGTCCGGAGCAGTTGCCAACTTTCAAAACGTCGTATTTATTATGTACAGCTAATTCATTTTCATAGAATATGGTATGTGATCTATTACAAAGAAATAATTGAGGTGTTATAAACAATTTCGTTGGTGCTAATATCACAATTCGCTTGAAACAGACAAAAAGTAGACGATTGTTACAGCAAGATTGCTCCTCGAATTGAATGAAGAAAATAAATGAATGCTAAATAGAAATATAGAATAGATTTTCTTTCTGACTTTAAGTTCATTGTCGAGATAAGAAGGGCGCAACACGTAAAATCAAATACATTATTGTTGAGATTAATTTCTACGCACTGTGAGTTGAAAACTAGCTACATTATTAGACAACATAACAACGAGACTTATCCTCCTTGTAGTCCTTAGCTTGCATCATTTTTGCATCTCCCTCAATTTTTTCCTTTCTCTTTTTTTTTTTTTGTTTAGGATTAAAACTTTTATAAGCCCGCACCATCTTTCTTCGTTCTTCTCTCTCGTCTTTAATTTGATTGGATTTGACCCGGCAGCTCATGTCCATTAATTTTTTTGTTACGGATAGAAGAAATAGACGTTCGATTAAAGAAAGGGGCAGAAGATTAAATGATCGAACTCTCACATTGACAGGACGTTCGTACGACTCTTGCTCCATTTAAAGCACGGTAACAAGGAGTCAACATGAATTTTGTGTGAATTTGTATTTACCACCGTACCCTTATGAAATTCTCTCTTTTTCTCGGGGGCCGCTAATCCCTAATCTATGTATTTAATCATCACTTGATTCACGCACCCGCATGATGATGATTGAACATGCATGGGGTAAAAATATTAGCGTGATTTTACGAGCGAGTGCCACTTGCACTTGAATATTCACCGCAACACTTCTGCGAAAGATTTTTTATTTTTTTGACATTGACAGATTAAAACGTGAAAATGCTTTACAAATGCCACTCCGCTATCAGGTTTCAGAAACTTGACGATGTCCATGATCCACCGCCACACCACTAGACTCTCTTCTACTTTTCCGGCGAGAGTTCACCGGCGGGGAAGACTTTCCGGCGTCCAAGGGGAAGTTGAGGATGGCCTTTCTTCCTCTCATCTTGAACGCTGCAGAGTCATAAGGCTTTTGCAGCGTCCATGGCGGTGTCAAACGTCCCCAGCCAGACCCGGGATCCCTTGCGGACCGGGTCTCGGATCTCCGCGGCATACTTTCCCCAGGGCCTCCTCCTTACCCCTCTGTAATGCCCGCCGTCTCGAACTCCGCCGAATGGGTCGGACTTTCCCGAGGCCGAAGCGGGCCTGAAGGGATTTTCTGAGTATGGACTGCCCGAAACGGGGCTTTTGGGCGAGATGGAGTCGATGAGGATGGTGGGTTTGGTTTCGAATTCGAAGAAATCGGGCTCGAGTTTGGGGTAACGAGAAACGGGGGTGTCGGGTTGTTTTGGGGGGTCTGAAATGAAAGAGCCGGAATCCGACTCGGAAGTTGTTGGGTCGGGCTTTCCGGAGCTGATTGTGGTTTTATCATGGTCATCGTCGTTGCAGACATCTGCGAAACAAAGACCAAGGTTGTTAAGAAAAGATTCCGTATCATTAGAAGTGAAGTCTCCCAGCAGATGCTGTCTTATGAGCTCCAAAGTTGTTGACTCGTCCGCCGACATCACCACCACACCACACTCGCTGATCACACCACCTTTCGGAGTTTGTTTTGGAGCTGTTCGCCTTCGCCTGTGTTTTTTTCACAACTGCTGCAATCCTGCCAGTGGTGGTTCGTTCGTAGCAGTGTGATAATAGTATGGGAGCAAAAGACGAGCAGCGGGTGGTGGCTTATATAGCAAGCGGACACGGGGGGCATGTAATGTTTGTAATCTGTAATTCTGTACGGTGGGGGCTAGGACTTTTGACACCCAACCCGATTTAGTATGGATCAATTTGTGGGGCCGGGAGACATTCACCAATGCGGTTACTGCACGGTATTGTATTGTGAAATGATCTAATTTCACACACAACTTTCCTTCAAAATAGCTTCTTCTTGAGGTTAACCTTTTTTTTTTTTTTGGAGAGACATGATGATTAACTTTGTCAATTGCTTCTTTGCCTGCAGTATCCATAAGTACTCAACAAACGAACGGCTCTGTTTTGGATTGATGTGTGAACTAATTGGTTTTGGGTCTTCCTGAAATTAGCTATTTCCAGCTATTGATTTGATACCTGTGCCTTTGTTGTAGAATAAAAAATAATAAATAAAGTGAGAATTGTGTCAGCTCTCTCTCTCTCGTGCTCGTTAATAATATTAAATAATTCCATCGTCTTTTATTCATGCACAAAGATTTTTTTTTGAAAAAAAAAATTACATTTATAGATTATTTTATATTTGCAATTTGATTTTAGATCAAGTAATTGTAAATATTACAATAAAAAGATATTATTATATTACAAAGGTCAAAAGAAAAAGATATAAACAATTTTATCACAACGGTCAAAAGTCCCCGTAAGAATTGACCCGGACACTTTTGTATTAACAAACAAAAAAAAAAAAGTCAAAAGTCGGTGGTGGGATGCCGCTGCCACGAAACAACAGTTGCCGCGATTGAGATTAATAGTGGGAGTGTATAAATTGGGCGAAGGAAGAAGATGCTAAGGCTGAAATTGATGGCGGGGTGTTGCTATTAGCAAACCGGCGGTGATGGCCGCCCTCCTCTACTTGCAGAGATCTTTGTAGATGAGGAGGAGGCATGCAACTTGCGAGTGAGTTACTCGCACCAGTTGCATGCATCAAACCATCAACAGAGGATTTGGTGGAGACGAGTCCCTTCTCCTAATCTCTTCTTGTCAAGTGGGGGAGGCATTTTGGATTTGGTGCGGGCCCGACGGCGCCTATGGAGTGTGAACCCGGTGGCTTTTTCCCAGGTCCCTTTGTTTGGAGGTCTCAATTCTCATAATTTACGCAATTATTATTTTGTTCCGCTGCAGAAAATTTTGTACCGATAATACAACACTGTACTATTATGTCGTCTTTTACGTTCATTTCATCCGTTGTTTTCCTCTCAAAATAATATCTTTGAAAAATGAGCACTGCAGAATTGAATCCTCCAGTCCAGAGTTCTTTTTTGTCAAAGATGAATATGTCATTTTTGTAACCTCCTACCGTTTTTCCTTCAGATTTACGATTCCCACTCGCGAGGGACGACAAATTTACTACAATTCCATTCCAATTACTACTTCATCAGCTTCCAAATTCTTATACCTTCGTCCTAAATCACATGTTGTCCCTCGCGAGTGACTTCAAGGATGATGAAAATATATATAGTACATACATTCTAGGGCCAGATAAACAGTGTTGAAAATTGGTCGGTGGGCAAACAAAATACTAGAAAAAGACCTCACCTGTCTGATTGGAGGAAAACACAGGCCTGGGTTGAGAAAAGAAAAAGAAAAGAGGGGTTGTTGGGAACACAATAATGCATTCGCCCCTCCCCTCGAACACATTTGGTCCTTGAATTACAAAATGGTAGCGGTAAGGTTGGTCTTAGTTCTACCCCAAAATTGTTGGATTTGTACTTCACCGCACGCTCTTTGGATGAGCGTGGCCTTCGTACAAATCATATTGACGAGTAACAAGTAAATTAAAGCTCGAGCCCATTACTCCGGTGAACATCAAGTGCTTGCCGGCCGAAAATATTTCTCTCGGAGTTACATTCATTAGATACATGATTATAACAACATTCCACTGTGTTTCGGTAATTCCCAAACATGACCAGATCTATTCTGGCCATAAATTGTCTAGTACCGAAATACCAACCAATCAAATTAATATTATTATTATTATTTTTTTTTTTTGTGGTGAAAGGAGCACTGAACATTATAGTAAAAGCAATCGTTTGTCAAAAGAATCTGTCAGGTTCCCATGACATCTTCTGCTTGACTAAACCAAATCACAAACAAAAATCAGGAGAATGCTAACAAGACTTGTTTATTTGAACAGGAGAAAGGGGAGCCGCATGTGGTGATTGACTTTTGTTGCTGAGAAAAAAGAAATTGGGAGCCTCTGGATAGTGTGTGTGTGTGTGCGTGCGAGCTAGCGTGGTTCTGGCATCATTGCATCGCATATTTACAGAGATCTCATGGTCGACGGCGTTATCTCATTCTCCTTCTCCAAATATGGTAATGGTAATCCGTCTTGAATGAAACTTTCGGTACGTGTTTCGCTGGAATCTGGCCTTTGCTCTGCCTGTCCATGTCGAATCCAACAGTACGAGTATGACAGATCAGTACCCAGATAAAGATATGCCGTTTATTTGCACCTTTTCTCCGATCCCCCCACTTCCTTCATTCCTGTAGCGGGTGGCCAGCCAGTCGGATAGAGGATAGGATAGAACCTGAAAGCCACACAAATGCATTGTGCATTGTACAATATCACAATCATATATACTGGAGCGGAGTAGTACATGAGAATCAATCGGAACTGTTGGTATTTGTTCATTGTACCTGGAAGTTTAACCTTCATAGTAAAACATTTACTACTTCACACACCTGCCCATGCAATTTGTAATCCGCAAAAGTAAGAATATGAGATTCGGATTCTCATACAACATTTACTATTTCCCAACACCTGCCGGGCATCTACCCAGCTAGTTTTGAAGTCATATGCTCCCTCCGTCCCACTTTGATAGTCCTGTATTCCTTTTTCATCATTATAATCGAATTAAAAAATCTAGCTGTATTCTAATTTTCCTAAAATAGCCTTATTGAATGTAAGTAGTTGTTGCTATAAACCTATCTCATTTAATGAGAGTTGATTTTTTTTTTACCATCAATTTAAGTTCCCATAAAATTATACAGTATTTAATGTGAGGGCATTTTAGAAAAATAGCAATCTAAATTTACTTTTTCAACAAAATTAATTATTTTTTTTAAATTGTGTGAAAAAAGAAACAGAACTATCAAAGTGGGACGAAGGAGCAGTATTTTACGTGTGGTACTAGTGCTAGGCTTTATTTATTGGGGGTGCCATTTATTGGCTACAAGAAAATTATGCGACGGGAGTCTTTTCAGAGTTGTCTGGCTTTATCAAAAGCAACGGAGTTTTCCGGGTTCCCTTTCATAACTCACAGTTTTTTGTATGAGTGTTTCGATAAATGGACTCTGCGAAGACACTTCAAAAGCCGGCAACTTTTGAAGTGCTCCGCAGCACTTAACTACTAAACCCCCCAAACCCCCCCAAGCGATGTGGGAACTTAACCCCACAGGGTGATAAAGACCCCCCAGACTCCCCGAGACAGGTTTTTCCCTTTCATAACTCACAGTTTTTTGTATGAGTGTTTCGATAAATGGACTCTGCGAAGACACTTCAAAAGCCGGCAACTTTTGAAGTGCTCCGCAGCACTTAACTACTAAACCCCCCAAACCCCCCCAAGCGATGTGGGAACTTAACCCCACAGGGGAAGTTTTCCGGGTTCGAATTCACCGGTTTTGGTCTGGCAATGTAAATGCTTCTGGATCTGGGGCCCCAAAAACAGCAGGGATCCCATCCCAATTCCCAACCATGCACAAGAGGTCTTCTTCGAATGAGCTGCACAGATGTAAGGATGGAAAAGTCGACTTGTGTCTTGTTCTGTAATTCTATTGAAGGCAAACAAACGAATGATAGAGATACTTTGGGGCGGGGGGCTGTGAACCTGAAACAAATAACTGCGTAATAGGCCTTCCAATTCCCAAGTTGCTGTATATTGTCGTCTTGGTGCACTGAATTGCGCATGGTGAGAGGCCAACGTTACCATCTTTCACTGACCCACCGCATTGAAATTCTTGAACCCCCAAAAGAAAAATAAAAATCATACTACACTTGCATGAGCAGAATACTAGTAGAGTATCTTTCTAATTCTGTGTCATGCAATTGCTTTCACAATTGTCCGGAGCCTCGAGTATATATATATATATATATATAATATTTTTTATATTTTTATTTTAAGTATATATATTTTTTATTTTCTTATTTTAATAGTAAAATTATATATATATTCTTAATATTTTATTATTTATTAAGAAAAAATATTATTTTATCTATTTTTAAAAAAATAAAATAATTATTTTTATTTTTTTTTGAGCTCGAGCTTTAAATTGCCAGCTCGTCGAACTCGAGTTTGGTAAAATTTAGTCGAGACTTGACTCGGCTCGATTAGCTCAAAACTTGACTCGATTCGACTCGTTTGCAGCCCTACAGGTTGTTCCTCTTGCGTATCAATCAAAACTCAAAATGAAATTGCACCTATTAAAATCCCTCAAAGGGGAAAGGGGGTTAAAAAAATTTTCAAAATTAGGCGGTGGTTCAGAAACATCAGTTTATTTAGTACATGATGGCTTCCAAGAATGAAACACGGCAGGCTAAATGTTCAGAGAAAAAGTTTCCATTGCATTATCTTTTTTGTACTAATAAATGGTATCAGAACCTTAAATTCAAGAATTTAATCTTGGGGTATTTGTGGTCACTGTGACAAGGACAGCACATAATTTGTGATAGAGATTGTGGTGAAGTGTTCAAATATTAGAAAATTGAGCCATGAGGTCGATTTTGGGGTACTCATTCATTTATTGATAATTAGGAAAAAGTGATCTTAATTGAACGAAGGTTTAAAAAGAGTGAACCCTATCCTATCCTATCCTATTGATAGTTGTGTGGGCATTGATTATGGTACAAATTGTTGATTATGGTTGTTTCCACAGTAGATTCAATCAAGGTACAAGGAAGTCGAGAAATCCAAGTGGGAAGGAAATTATTTGTTAAGGTGCGTAATTATTCTGAGTTGGTGAAAGCTTGGATTTCAATAAAGATATAAATGATGTTATTGATGTTATTAGTGGGGTGGACAAATTTATGAAAAATTGTGATGAAACTGTATTTTTCTGTGGTTGGCAAAAAGAGAGGTGTAAATTCATGATTTTTAAAAATTGTGCGGAAGATTTGTATGCAAAAAATAAATAAATAAATAAAAATGGTGGCTGTAATTGTGATTGGGTTATTTGGATGAATTTTTTTGATTGAGTTGAGGATTAGCAGCAAAATTGTCTGCAAATTACAAGTCTCATCCATCCTCA